TGTGGTGCAGACCAGCTGTATCGGTGCTGCTGCTCCTCCTGCTGGTGCTGGTGCTGCTGCTGCTGTTGTTGCTGCTGCTCCTACTGCTGCTGCTGATACTGCTGCCGCTTGCCGCTGGTAAGCACCTGCAGTACCTCTCCCATCCCACTCTTCTGCTTCCCCCGTTTCTCGATTTTCATCATATAATTCAACTTATATTCCTAAAAAAGCATCTAAACAACAAACACATAAATACACAAGAAATAAACCAAATCACTTAATAAATGTATATTTAAGAAAAAAATAGCTTAAAATTAACAGTATAAATACTAAAAGTTTTACTATTAAAAGTAAAAAGTGTAGAGGAGAAAAAAAAGCCAATACGTTTACTGCTAGTTTATTGACTTTTTTTTTTTCGAATTACTTGATATTACATATTTTTGCTTAATTCTGTCATTTTTATGTCACAGTTTTTTTTTACAGGTAAATTATTTTACAAAAAAATTTTCTTTTTGAATAACTGTTATAAACTATATAGGCAAATAACCGTTTCTCCTATCCTTTTTTGTAAAAAAAACTGATTTAAAAGCACTGATTTTATAAACAGTTATGTTCTGCTAATAAAAAAAAGTAGAGTGTACTATTTGTAAAATAATAATTTTTTAAATCAATTGTTGTTGATTAAATAAATTAGTTGCAATTGTCAAAATGTTACTGTAAACTTTTTATCGTAATATAGGTGAAGTTGTCATTAGGAAGTTGTCAGTCGTTTATACAGTTAAACATACAGTAACTGTTAATTTAAACAGATTAAAAGGTAAAATCAAATAATAAAAATTTGATTTTTTCTTTTGTTTATTTATTTGAAAAAAATTTTTTTTTAAAGTTTTTGATTTTATTTTGGTAATGCCAAGCAGCAACAGCAGCACCATCACCACCACCAACAACAAAAACAACAACTGTATACAGGTTGATATAATACAGGATAAAACAATAGAAGCATATGTTTTTATGGATTGGGTTATATTTAGCAGTATTGTTCGTGCTTTCCTTCATCTTCATTATCATCACCGCTACCGCCATCATCTTTTTTTCTTGCCTTTTTCTTCTTTTTCTTCTGCTTTTTCTTTTTCTCCATCTTCAGATGATGATGATGATCATCTATCCAGATGTACATACATATTTGTGTATATATGCTACATATACTGCTTTTCAAACAAATTGGCATGTGTTGTTTTTGTTGGCCCTTTTTACATCGGTTATTTTTTTTTTTTATCGTCTGCTTATCATCTGCCCTTTAGCTACACACACACACACACACACACACACACACACACTTCCATCTTCTCAATTATCGCTTTTTTTTTTATTTTATTTTTCAAACTAAAATTCTATATATCATTCTTACAATTGCTATTGCTGTTACTACTGCTGTTGTTGCTGCTGCTGATGCTCCTGCTGCTGCTACTACTACTAATGCTGTCGTTGTCGGTTTTTTTTTCTTTCAGTAACAGAAGCATTAGGAACAGCAACAGCAGCAGTTTTTTCTTTTTTTTTTTGCCTTTATTATAACCATAATTATTGTAAAAGTTAATTTTTTTCTTTTCTTCTTTTTTACAAAGGTAAAAATGAAAAGAAATTGACAGTAGCTGTTGACATAGCCACAAAATTGCTTTTTCTATTTTTTTTTTTTTT